GTCCATTAATGTCAAGATAATCTTCTGCAATAACATTAGGTCCTTTATCAACTGGTTTACCAGATCCATTGAAAACTCTACCAAGCATATCTTCTGAAACTGGAATTGTCAAAACATCCCCTGTAAATTCACATCTTGTATAACGTGCATCAATACCTGAAGTTCCTTCAAACACTTGTACAACAGCTTTATTCCCAGTAACTTCTAACACTTGTCCTTTACGAATACTTCCATCTCCTAATTTAATATTTACAATTTCACTATACTTTGGTCCTTTAATGTTATCAAGAATAACTAATGGTCCATTAACACTAGTTACTGTTCTATAATCTACATATTAATATCTTTTATTGTTTGTATTTCTTTTTTATAACAAAGTAGGAGTAGTATTATTTATTTCATTTTGTAAATAACAAATTGTGCTTATTATTACAACTTCTTCTTAACTTGAAAAAAAAAACAAACCAAGTACAGGATTAACAATATAATCACGAGTCACTGCAGCAGCGTTAATTTTGAAAGCTTCCATTTCAATTGAAAATATAAGATTTCTTTCAACTCAAAAATCTTTCCCACAAAAAAAAAAAATATTTTAAGAATTTCATTCTTCTTTTTTGTGTTAACAAAAACCCTTTTTCTTGTTTTTTTCGGTTTTTTGTTCATCAAACAAAAATCAACTCTTATATTTTTATTACTTTTAACTATCTCATTATAATTTCATTTTTTGTTTGTCTTTTTATCATAAAATTAAAAAGTCTTAATACAATAACATTTACTTAAAAATACAATTTTGTTTTATATAACTTAATTAAACCAATGATTTAAACTTTCATTTTTTTAAAATCATTTTAAAAAAGGAACTAATAGAAGTTGAAATAAAATAAAAATACCAACCAATCCTTAATTAAAGAATATTATTTCTTTTTCTTAATTCTTTAAACCTTTTAAATTCATTTATTATAAGACTAGATTTAATATCTTCAGGAAGACGGTCATAACTCCAATCTTCAAAATAATGGAACCAATAAGGATCAATAACACGAGTCAAACCAACATGGATCAATGCAGAATCAACAAATTGGTCAGGAGTACAAACAGAAAGTGAAGGTGGCATTTTACCAATCATTTCAGTTGAAATATGCCAAGGTCTAAAGACAGTACAATCAATATTAGAATATTCATAAGAAATACTTCTACTTAATTGAAATATAAATTGTTTTGTCGATGCATAAATAGCGCTGTAAGGTGCAGGAGTTTTAGATGTACAACTAGACATAAAAACAATAAGATTTTTAGCATTTTTAATTGAATGACGAATAAAAAGATGAGTTATTTGAGAAGTAATTTCAATGTTTAATTTAATCATATTATTAGTTTCTTCTAAAGGAATATCTGTAAATATTCCTTTAATAGAGCGACTAACATTATTAATTAAAACAGTAACATTATTTTCTTCTAATAAATTATCAATCAATTTCCAATGAACTTCATTTATTTGATATAAATTAATTGTTAAAATTATTACTTGAATTTTATATTTTGACTCTAATTCTGTTTTTATTTCATTCAATAATTCAGTTCTTCTTGCAATTAAAATAAGGTTAAATCCTTCTTTAGCTAACCTTTCAGCAAATGACTTTCCAACACCTTCAGAAGCTCCAGTGATAAGAGCAAAACTATTTTTTGCATGATATTTTTGTATAGGGTTAGGATGAATAATTCTACGAATAATAAACCTCCAAATGAATAATAATAATGGTAAAATGAGAATAATATTAATTAAAATACCAACACTAAGGAGTGCAATTTGTTGTAATAATTTCATTATAAATTAAAATACATTATTGAGTAAATTTACTTTAAATTTATAGAAATATCATTTTTAATGAAATTTTATTTTTATTTTAGATGAAAAGAAATAATAAAATAATAATAAGGTATTACTTTAATTTTAGTTTTTAATAACAAATTTTTTTTTTAAATTTGTTATATATAAAAAATGAAAAAGAGAAAAAAAAAAATAAAGAAACTATAATTAATAGTAAAAGAATAATAAAATTAAATTAACAAGAAAAATAAACAAGAAAGTTTATTGAAAGAAAAATGCAAGTAACAACAACTGATAAACGAACAACAGGAAGTTCAATGATTCCTAATCAAATTAATCAACAAAAAGATAAAAAAAGAGAAGATATTTTACAAAGAGAACAAATGAGAAATTTAATTAAAAGAGTTGATGGGAGATATGAATTTGATAAAACATCAATTCAAACAGCACTAAAAGATGTAGTTGAAGATTTTTTAGATACATCTCTTTGTGATCTTCTTGAAATTGCAAAACATAGAGGAAGTGATAAAATAGAAATTAAAGACACATTGTTTTATTATAGAATGATGTGGAACTTAAATGTTGGTCCTTCATATTCATTACCTCCTAAATCAACAACTGTTTTACAAAAGAAATTTGCTCCTCAAAAAACTTTTAAAAAACAAATTTGTGAATTTAAAGAACGAGTTGGTATTGTTCATAAAGGTATAGATGAAATGCATTCTGTTCATTAAATTAAAAATTTTTAGAATAAAAAATTATTTAAAAATTAATAATTTTAATAAAATAAAAAATTATAATTTTTATAAAAAAGAAGTTTTAATTAAAAGTACTTCATTACTTAATTTGAAGAAGGACACATTTTAGCCCATTCACAAAATTGATCAGATCTATTCCCAGATTCAAGGTATTGAAGGATTTTGAAATATAATTCATCAAGAACAAAATAACAATAATGTTGTGGAAGCTCTCTTCTAAATTTAACACATAAACTATTCATTAATTCATGAACTTTATCCAATGCCATATTACTTTCTGCTGCATTAATTAATTTATCAGCAACACTATTACATAAATTACAAAGAATATCTCCTCCTCTAGACTCACAATAAACTTTTGGATTAAATGCTTGTCTTGAATAAATATCTACACAAACATCAGAAGGAAGTTCTTTCTTTATACATTTCTCTAAAACATCTTTAGAACGTGAAACAATTTGTGCATTTCTTATTGCACTATCACATGAATTTCCTTTTTCTGCTTTAGCAAAGACAATAAGAGTTAAACAAAGGATAAATAACATCAACTTAATATTTTTTAGTTTTATTTTTTTAGGAGCAAAAGGAGATCGAAGGTGGCATGTCTGAAACACCACACATAAACCCTAGTACAAATTCATTCTTCGACTCTCCCAGTTATTATCTGGTTATGACGGTGCTTTTGAATTAGGAATGTATTAGGGAATGCTGCAAAGGGTGCAGCAAGAGAATACAGTAGAATATTACGTGGATGTAATATAAGAATATACTGAAGTGTGGGTATGACTAAAAGAAGATTAGTCAAAGTAAGACTAAAAAGAAAATTAGTCAAAGTAATACAGTAGTAATAAAATGATTCCTTCTCCCATTCATAAAATAAGAAAAATAAAATTCCTGAAAATTAAGGCAGAAAACAAACAAAGGCTTAAAAAGAAGAAATAAGCAGAAGAAGTTTGAAAAACCTTAATAGGAAGAAATAAAGGAAAGAAGTGCTTTCCTCATTTTGCAAGATAAACATAAAGAATAGGTTTAACAAAGAGATTACTCTTTTTTAATAATAAGCTCAGGGATGGGATTAGTCTCCCCTGAGCTAGGAAGAATAGATGAAAAATCTATTAATACTTAATTAATTACTTTTTCTTTAAATTACTTTTTATATTAATAATATAGTTTTAAAAAGTAAATATATTTCGTATATGAAAAAATATTTAAAAATATTTAATATGTTTTTTTGTTAAGAGAATTTTTAATATTTTTTTTTTTTTAAAAATAATGTTTAATTTGTTAAATTAAGTTATATATAACATAATATTCTATTTCATTTAAAATCAAAAAAGAATTAAAATGTTTTTTAATATTTTTTATAAAAAAAAGATAAAAATATAATTTTTCAAATAATTCAAACAGTTAAACCTCAAGTATTGAGAGAAAAGAGTAAAAAAGAAGAATAGATTAAAACAAGATAAGAATAATAAAATAATAGTAAAAATATTATAATTGAATTGAAAATAAAAAGATGTTTAAAACTCAAAAATATCATATAATTAAGGTTACAAAATGGCACCAAAGAGGAAGGAAACTGAAGATCCAGCAGTTCAAAATTTATTCGAAGAATTAGAACCATTCTTTGATGGGATTCTAGTGTCAATGAAATCATTTTCATTGGCTGAACGGGCAAAGTATCAACAAACATTTACAGAATTCCTTACACAATCAGGAAGTAATTTCTATGAATCATTCATTAATAAATTTAGAGATAGATTGAAAGATGGATTTCAAACATCAATGAAGAAGATGAAAGATGTTCCTATTGATGAAAATTTCCCAAAAATCATTAAAGAAGATCTTGATAGATGGGAATATGCTAAAAGTGCCATTTTAGTATTATTTAAACCATTAGACTATGCAATGGGAAATGGTGCATCAATAACAATAGATATGATTGTTAAAGACAAATGGAATACGGATTATCTTCATACATTAAATGATACTTTTGAACTTACTACTACACTTACAAGAGTTTTTTCAGACTCAAGAAGGAGTGGAAATAAGATGTCAGTATTACCAGTAAAAAATATTTTAATGTTATACAAAAGAGAGAATATTGTTACTCGTGGACAAGTTCCATTAATTAAAACATTTGAAGATGCATTTTGTAAAACATCTAATGAAGACTATAAAATTTTTGCAACAGAATTCTTTAAAGAAGGGGTTCATGGATTTTTACCACAAGCAAAACAATTTATGGAAGATGAAGAATTTAGAATTGAAAATGCTATGGATGATGAAATTGGAGAAAAAATGAAAAAACGTCTTCAAAATGATTTTTTGAAAGTTTCATTACAAATGGTTTATGAAAAATATGATGAAATTCTTGAACAAGACAAAGAACTTGAGTTCCAAGCTATCACTCGTTTATTTGGTCCTATTAATCAACTTGATAAATTTGCTGAAAAAACTAAAGTTTCATTTATGAACTATTGCCAAAATAAAATGGAGAATGCAGTTAAACAAAGTCCAGAATTTATTAGAAATTATCCAGCAGTTGTTTCATTATTATTTGAATTACTTGATCGATTAGAAAAAATGCAACAAAATTATTTCCTTTCCAATCCAGTATTTAAATCTAGATTAGACACTGCTTTTAAAGATGCTTTAATAACAAATAAAATTGTTGATCTTTCTGATAAAAAAGATGAAGTATTTCCACGAATTCTTGCAAATTATTCTCATATGTTATTAAAAAAGGGAAGTAAAATTGAACCAGATCAAGAAAAAGTTAAAGAAAATATCGTTAAATTAGGTAAAGTACTTCAATTTGTTGGAAATAGAGATGTATTTGAAATGGTGTATCAAAAGAATTTCCAAGATCGTTTAGTACTTGGATTAATGGAATCATCTGATTTAGAAATGTATATGATTAATGAGTTAAGTAATATTTGTGACAGACAAGTATCACATAAATTACATACAACATTCCAAGAATATAATCAATCTGGTGATATTCTTGAAAAATTCAAAAGTTATTGTGCTAAAGGAAATATTCAATTACCTAAATTTGACTTTAATGTTGTTGTTTTTAGTAATAGTTCTTCTCAAAACCAAAATACCACATCATACAATATGCCATCACAATTAAAAGAAGTTTTTGATAAATTTAGTGAGTTCTATAAAAATACTCAAAATAAAAAACTAACTTTAAATCATACTTCTTCTACTGGAGTTATACAATTCTCATGGCTAAGAAGACCAATTCAAATTACTTGTAGATTTTATCAAATTGGATTATTAATGTTGTTCAATGATAATAAAGAAATTACTTATGCTGAGCTTGGAACAAAAACTGCTTTAAGTAATGATGATTTAGCTATTTGTATGTCTGGAATGGTATCAAAAGGATTATTGTCTAATTCTACTGGAAAAGAGTTTAAACCAGATTCTGTATTCAAATTTAATATGTCATTTAAACCAAAGATGACAAAACTAAGTGTTATGCAAGCAGACAAAGAATATGTTGAAAAGGAACAACAAAAGAAGAGCGATGCTGAAAGTGAACAACTAGAAGAAACAAGAAATTATGTTATTCAAGCAAAACAAGTAAGAATTATGAAACAAAGAAGAACTATGAAATATGTTGATTTAATTAATGAAACAATTGAGCATTTAAGATCAAGATTTAATATCACTTCAAGAATGGCTAGAAAGAACATTGAGTATTTGATTAATAAAGAATATTTCAAGAGATCTGATAGTGATAGAGAAGTATTGGAATATCTGGCTTAAAATTTATTCTTAAACTCACTCATCTTTTTTCTTTATTTTGTGTTATTTTTAATAAAAAATTTTTTCTTTTTTGTTTAAAATAATCTCTAAAAGAAAATTCATTTTGTAAGAAGTTTTTCATTACCTTACTTGTTTATGGGATATTAAAATGCTAGATACTAGATGTTTTTTTCAATACTTAGTCTATCTATTTAAGTGATATTTTACCAAAACAGTTTCAACTTTTTATTAATAGAAGATAACATAGTTATTCATTGAAATACAACAAATAACTAATGTTTTAGTTATCAAGAATCTAATTCTTCTAAGAGTGGTATTGTATTAAGTCTAGACTTAATAACAAACAAACTAAATTCTCAAAACAAAACTGCTCATTTTCATTATCCAAATTAACATTAGAAAATAATTGATACTGAAGATATTATACTCACATAAAGATAAAAACCAAGATCATTTCATTTTCTTTCTCACTCAAATAATTATTCTTTTAAAGTAATTTCTTTTCTTCTGAAATAATATCCTCAATTTGTTTTATATTTTTTAAAAAATAAAAATAATAAAAAAATAGAAAAGATATAGATTGAGATAAAAAGAGGGTTTGAATATCTTCTTTTGTTCAGTCAAACAACATGGTTTGTTTTTATTATTTGAAGAAAAATAAAAAGTAAATTAAAGTATGTATAAGACATTAATAAAAATTAGGCTAGAGGACCAAGACATCATTTAAAGAGATTAAATGCACCACACCATTGGATGCTTTCTAAATTAGGAGGAACTTTTGCACCAAAACCATCACATGGACCACATGGAATGAAAGAATGTCTTCCACTTATTCTTATTTTGAGAAATAGATTGAACTATGCATTAAATGGAAGAGAAGTTACAATGATTGTTAAGAACAGAACAATCAAAATTGACGGAAAGATTAGAACTGACACTAGATATCCAGTTGGATTTATGGATGTTCTTTCTATCCCAAGAACTAAAGAAAACTTTAGATTAATGTATAACACCAAAAGAAGATTTTGTTTAGTTCCATTAACTGCTGAACAAGCAAAAGTTTGTTTTTATTAAATTTAAACTAAAATGTATTTAACTTGTCATAAAGAAATTGATTAATTACATATGATGAATTTCTTGGAGAA